TCGGGTCACCGGAGTATATTATTCAGAAGCTCCAGCGCGTTCAAAACTGCGCTGCACGCCTTGTAGCTGGGCAACCTAGGGCTGCGCACATTCGCCCCGTCCTTAAGGAGCTACACTGGTTACCTGTGGAGCAGCGAATTACCTTTAAAGTATTACTGTTAACTTTTAAAGCTCTCAATAATCTGGCGCCTCCGTATTTAAGTCAACTTATAATCCCATATAACCCTACAAGAAATCTTAGGTCAGCTAGCAAACATTTATTAGAAGTACCGAATGTGCGCCTGAAGAGCTATGGGGACAGGGCCTTTTCGGTCGCTGCCCCATTAAAGCACTGGAATGATATTCCCTTAGACATTAAATTAAGTGGATCAGTTGATGTTTTTAAATCTAGATTGAAAACTTATCTTTTTAGACTCGCTTTCAATTGACTTTTGCTTTAGTGCTATTGTTAGTTATTTTCTTTTTTTTGATTGTTAAGCGATATAGAGCTTTTGTATATACCGCTATACAAATAAAGTTATTATTATTATTATTATTATTATTATTATTATTATTATGATGATGATGATGCTGTCTTTTCACGAGATTATGAAACTATACTGTAACACTTCTACTAATAAATTACAGTTCTTTAGTATACTTGAACGAGAGCCAAAATGAGTAAACTCGAGGCTGCCAAAAATAAAACAGGCTATCATAGATTACTTTAAAAAGAATCAAACGAACATGTTGCGATCTTACAAAAAATTGAATTTCTATTCCACTTTTAAGAATGCTGTGAGCAGATCAGAATATTTAGACCTTATTAAAAACGAAAAGAGCAGGCAGAAGAAAAATTACGGTCAGTAATCACAGGTTAGAATTGAAACTGTTAGTACCGTCTTCCTAAAATTGCTGAGAACCTAAGGATATGTCAGCTTTGCTCGTCGAATAAAGTAGAGAATGAAATTTATTTTCTATTTGAATGCAATTTATATAACAATTTAGGACACCAGTTTTTTCTAGACGTAGAAGCCAAGTGCTTCAAATTCGTAGACTGGAACAAACCGGAAAATGTTATATTTCGTTTTAACAATATTGATCAATATGTTAACCGCTTCACTCCTGAGCCTGGCAGCCTTTGCAGTAGATCGGTACGTGGCCATTACGTACCCCCTGTTTTACAGAAGCAAGCTCAATTCGGTCCGAACATTCTTAGTGTCTCTTGTTGTTTGGATCATCTCCATTTCATTATCAGTCTCCTATTTTGTGGTAGGCCACAACAAGTTTCGTTTCATCTTCGCGAATACTGCCGTCGCTGTGACATTTTTTGTACTACTTTTTACTGATTCAAAAATTTTCAACTTCCTCCGCGTACAAGTAAATGAATGGGACAACCTCCATAGCACTTCCGAGGAAAACTTGGCGAAGACACGAGCGATCAAGTGGGAGAAAAAGATCACAAAGACACTTGTTATTGTTTTGCTGTTATTTTTAGCTTGTTATTTACCATCGTGCATTTGTATCTATATCATCAATTTTTGCGCTGGCTGCCATTGTGTGTTTATTCACTGGGTCA